AAACACAGCAGTATGGACTATCTTGATGATGGAAGAAGGTTAGTTAGCATCATCTTCTATTAAGAGACTGTTTGTTTCTAGCCCTCAGCTGAAGTGCCAGCATCACTAATGTTCCTACTGCTGCATTTCAATTTGTCTCTGATTTGCCATCCCCTTGTGCAGTACCTACATGTCCTTAGGTAACACATCTGTTACAAGGAGAGGCATCCCCGATCTGTTCACATCAGAGCTGTGTCTGCTCCACAAGTCCTGCAAAGTAGTGCCGTATTCTCTTCTTCACCTTCTTCAAGAAAAAGGTGTTCCTGCAAACTGTTCCCATTGCTTTGTGGAACAGGACGGTAGAATCTCTAGGAGGAAGCAATTTTTCCTTAGCAAGGCTTTTGTAGGACTCTTGGCAGTATCCCCACTGCCTGCTGTTAATCCAGCTATCTTTTTTTTCTTTTGTTCATAGTATGTGTATTTGCAGTGGTTGTCCAGATACACAGATTTCTCAGTCTTTTCTGAGGGGGTTGCAAAGTGTGGTGCTTACACTGATCCTGTTATGAACTGTTAGAGATCACAGTTGCCTACAATGCATTTATCCCCATTCCAATGAGAGGTAAAGAAAAAATGAGGCAATATCCTGCTAAGCCATAAAGGTCTGCTCCATTTTTAAAAGGAAGTGGATTTAATTTTATTTTGTTGCTGTCTCTTCAGCATTTCTGCATGGTTACAAGTGAAGGTACACATCAGGGGTTGTTTGCTTTCCACTGAATTAATAAGTCAGAAAACAGTTCCTTACAGTATGCTGACATTTCCCCTCTGGCGTGGTACACAGCAGAAAGTAACAAAGCAGAGACTTCTGGAAGGGAAGGTGCTATGAAGTCATTGAATTCAAAGACTTTTTAAAAAAAAATATCTTTGACTATCTATGCAGTGTTTTAAGGGACTACATGTGCTACGTTGACCATCTCTGACCAAAAGCCATCCGGCGTACGCCCAAACAAATAAATGCAGACTCCCTTCAAATTTATTTTCTGTTCAGAGGCATATAGGCATATAGATTAAGTTCATGGCTACAGCCCTCACTCCTGGTGTTTTGCACTGTAAGTGTTTTTTGGGAAAGGAGGCATCTTCTGGGGGTGACATATTAAACCTAAAAGCTTCCAGGGGAAAGCCTGAGCAGAAGGAAAGTCTAATGACAACAGAATAATGCTTTCTGGTTTTCGCCCCTAATTTGCAGGGAGGACGTCAGTGTCAAGGGGAGGTGGCAAGCAGCCAAAAAAATTAATTTGCTTCTCATAGATGCTGTGAGTCAGAAGGGATTCACTCCCTTCTCTTGAGCTCCACTAAGTCTCTAGCTTTAAGTGTACGGCCAGGCTCCCCATCCTTCACCTGCAGGTAGTGTGTTTTGAGCTCTACAGATACAAGCTGGAAAGACTTTCCTAAGTACTTTTGATTTAGAGAAAAAAAAAACCAAAAAACACAAAACCCACAACAGGATGTCTTTTTCCTAATGGTGTCTTCACTTATGCATTTCCCTCCTCGGTATTTTACAGTGCTTGCAAAGACTTTGTGACCCTGTTAGCCTCTAGGAAATGGGTTAGGGATGTGGTTACAGAAACTTCTCACTCAGCAGGGTAAGAAATCAGAGCTGCATCTACTGCAGTGGCTGGCTGGGCATTGTGGCTAGCACAGAGCTTTCCTTTCAGT